CATCCGCGACATGTTGTTGTGCCCCGGGGCATCCGCTATCTTCATCATGTCAACATCCGCGCATCCTGCTGCATCCATTGCTGTACGGAACATGAAAGCGGAGACTGTGCAGCAAGATTAACAGTTTAAGTTTTGATTGTAGGAATTTAGTCGTCAGGGTGGAGGGTTTAAGTTAAGGTTAATGGCATTTCATATGCTCATATCATCTGGACCAATGAGGATGCCTATGTGTTGCTCGACAGGCCTTCCGAGCATTCTGTTCGACACGGTCGCGAAGTCGCAGTGTCGTATTTCAAGCAGATGGTTGAGCGGAAACTGTTGCAGGCTGGCGGCCAGCGAAGAAAAAGGAAGCTGCAAATGGATGACATCAGTGTTATGACCGGCCCCGCTGTTAGTGCAGAAAGTCAGCAAGTCATGGAGTTTCTGGAGATCCCTCCGGCAGCGGATGATCGATTTGCTGGCGTGCCTTGGGCTAGTAATTAATGATATATATATATATACATACATACATACACACATACATACATATATATATATATGCATGGTTATTTATGTTGACATCTTTTTTGCTCTTTCAGGTGGATATGCTGCCACCAAATTTGGATTCGATGATCCACGGCATTGCGGAGCGAGATCTGGATGAACACGGGCTGTTTGTGCAAGCTAGTGGCAGCAGAGGTCTCAGCTTGTATACACACCAGTCCGTGCCTGATGGGGAAGTGGTCCTCAAGCCCTCCTTCCTCCTCTACTCCTCTGAGAAGATTCTCGTTGAGTTTCTGCGTCAAAATGAAACCTATGCTGACAAGGTGCCCTGTTCGGAAGTACTGTCACTGTCAGTGAATCAAACCTTTGGCTAGGTGCAAATATCAGCCATCCTTGATTCAAGCTTAGCCTGAGGTCTTGAAGATCAGTGGCATCCTTCACCATGACAAGCCGACGACCATGTTTGCAGTGCTGCTCGGCGCCGCTCGCATGATCAACGATTTCAGCGGAGGGTCGCGCAAGTCTCCGAATTGTGAGTGGGCGTTGATCCCAGCCGTTGGACCCAGCAGAGGTTGGGTGGGATTATCATCTATGCTTTGTTGCAGAAGCTTCATTATCATTTAATCTGACATAATTCTTATCCCCCTCAGGGAGCCTGGTACTTCGGGTCAAAACCGCCAATGCTGCTGGAGTCGCTGCCAAAGCCGAGTTGGTGACAAATTATGGGCTGCAGTTTTCATGGGACAAGAAGCAAAGATTGGAAAATTACTTCACTGCATCACCATCGAAATCAACGTCAGCGCCACCCGAAGAGCCAGTGCAGACAAGCGTGCCAACAACAGATTCATTGCTGCATTTAATTTAATTAGTAGCGAGTCTGCTTATGCATCCCACTGTTCAGCTATCTGCACCTAAGGATCCACCAGCACCGCCGTCGCCAGCCCCGGTACCCGAGGTGCCAGCCCAGCCACCATCCATGCCGAAGCCCGCCGACATGCCAGCACAATCACAGTCTGTGCCGACGGAGGAGAAGCCGGCTGGGCCAGCACCGGCTGGGCCAGCAGCCATGCTACCGACGGCTCAGATGTGGGAGCAGGCCACAGTCATTGCCGAGCTCTCCGAGCCCTGCAAATGCACCTGGAAACTCATCCCCGCGTCGGTAGCCGATGGCACACCGACGATTGCGGTGCGTCTGAATGAGGAGAGCAATCGCAAGCTGACTCGGCTCACGATGGTCTATTGGTGTGATTCCGGAAAGCTTGCCCGCTCAGGCCAACGTGTGTCTGGAATGATCGCCTACACCGAGGCTTTGGCCACGAGCAACGTGTATGTCAACGTTGTTGGCAAATCCGTGATGACACTGAAGGAGTTTGTGAAGTCGCATGACCTGACCGAGATCCACGGGTTTAAACCTTTTCCTGCTGGCAAAGCGCCACTGAAACTTCAACGTGATGATGAAACTAGGCTGCTCAGTAGCATACTCTTTTACTTTGTGGGTTCCTGGGTTCATAGTACTTCAACTAACCTAAAAAAGTATATACTTTTTCAGGGGTTACTGAAGCAAGCGCCTAGGAAAGCACATTTCTGTGGCTGAAGAACGTGCCGGATGTTGTCCTCGCCATGGAGAAGGCTTTGTCAGTGATCCCACACATGCAGCTTGCATGGGAATTCAAAGTGGAGGGTGCGAAAGGAGTGCCAACCCGGCTAGGGCTTTTGTCCGTGAAGCAACTTATGTTGCAGGCAAACAAGATCATGGCAATGCCTGTTTGAGATGTTATATCAGAGTCAGATTTATGGTTGGGTCAAAGCTCGAAAATACTACTGATGATAAGACCGTTTGACAGGCATTGTCATTGTCATTGCCATTGATGCTCATGCCTTCTTGCGTCAACTGTCGTTGTGAAGAGGCATTCTTCGGCATAGTCAGCCATTCCAATTTCTGAAGTCCGCCCTTCGGGACATCCTGACATCATCATTGTCAGCGTGGTGCTCAGGCAAACAAGATCTTGGCAATGCCTGTGATGTTGTATCAGAGTCATATTTATGGTTATTGGGTCAAAGCTCGAAAATACTATAGTATGATGATAAGACCGTTTGACAGGCGTTGTCATTATCATTGCCATTGTGAAGAGGCATTTTCGGCTTGCACAGTCAGCCATTCCTACTCTAATTTCTGAAGTCCGCCATTCGGGGCATCCTGACATCATCATTGTCAGTGAATCGCACAACCGCTCCACGGAGACAAAAAGGTCTGGAGTCCTGGAGAGTGAGTCTGACTAACACATCATATCATTTTTTGTGACATTGTGACGTGTCGCCCAGGTTGCAGATTGCTACCGCTGGCCGTCGACCTGCCTGCAGGGGGAAAAGTGTGTTGCATGCCAGATGCCAGGTTTATCATCGACTCTTCATTTTACTTGCTGTTGCACCTTTCGGTTGTATCATTTCACCGGTCCTGCTATTGAACAACTATTGGACAAGAAACTTGATCCCACGACATCCCGTGCACTAGTCCCTTCAGCAGATTCATTTCGATCTGAATGCCTTCAACAAATCCCCGCGTGGTGGAGGAATTGGAACGAGAGAGGAGGAACATGCAGACTTCACTTCGCCAGGGAATCGGAAATTCGAGGTTCTTCAGTATTGAGTCTATGGTTTTCAGGAATATTGCCGAGGTAGCAGGCCTTGTTGAACAAGCATTGTGTCAAGTTTGGTCTTACTCAGCCGGGCCCCACGGATGTCTACAAAAAGATGCAAACTGAGTCTTGCAAGCACCAGAGACTTTTCCGAATTTCATCGTGATTCAAACCAAGGTGAAGTTGCGTCTTCTCAGCTTTTCGCCAAGGTCGATTTATGTCGATGGTCTTTTGAGATTTGCACCGTCCAGGGGGCTCTCTGCGCCATGAAGAAACCGCTCGTCTCGTCCTGGAAAGCAGAATGTGCTTGGTCCACATTGTTTTGGAGTCGAGGCTCAGCGAGCCGAAATGCGAAATCCAGACTTTCTCCTCGACCTTTGCAACGTGCACGATTCCAGGGTTGCAACTGCAACTGCAATACGTACCGGCTAATTGTACCCCACGAGAGCACGAGGGCCGGCAAGCAGTTCCTGCAGAATGGACCTCTTGGACCGCAGGCGTGAAGCTCGAGCAAATGGCAGCTGGAATGTTGGGAGGCAGTTGCGGAAGGAGGTCAAGAATCCGGCAACAATGGATCGCTCCAAATGGCTCGAGGAATGGAAGCTTCCGATTGGAAATCGATTCAACAACTCCGCAAAGGTCGGATCAACCAGGCAGCCAGATTGGAAACGCTGATGGGGAATTTGTTTCATCATGTTTCATCTGAGCTTCAGGCACAGACGTTGGCTGAGCACCTGGAAAAGCGAACGAATTTGGGTAAAATTTTCAGTGTCAGCATGCGGCTTTCAACCACACCGAGCTCAGGAAAGCCATATCACACATCGCCAGCGGCGAAGGCAACTAAAACAGATGGTATTCCTCGTGGACCGTGGAGGTTTTCAAGGTTTTGGCATGTTAAATGTGGTCGTGGAACCCAGTGCACACTTACAATGGCTTTTGGATCTTTGCAACCTTTGCTGGCGAGCCGCCATGGTTCCCGATGAATCGTCCACAGCTTCAGTTGCAATGTTATTCAAGAAAAGGGACCCAGCATGTTGCAGGCAGGTCATTTGCATCATGATGCGGCATCGCAGGTTTATGTCAAATCCAACCTAAAATCACAGAATTGTGGCATTTCACAAGGATGCACTTTGAGCCGCTGTCTATCAGAGTCTATCGTCGCAATGACGGTCTTGATGAACGATGCTGTTTCAAATCTAAGTGGTTCTCCGCTGCTCCATACAAGCGTTGGGATTTGGCCGATATTGTCTATGCTAGGGATACGTTTCAACTGCTACAGGTAGAATGTAGAGCAATCATCGGACTCCGACACATGAGCATGTTTCGCCAAAACTGGGCATGAATTTGGGATCTGTTCTCGGAACTCAGGATGGTCTGCAGGGCATGAACTCGGTCGGAGAATCGGGATGGCAAAGCCTTGACTTTCTTTTACTCTAAAAGTCTAAAAAGTTTGGAGCTAGTCTGTATTGTCGTGGGATCGGAAGGTGAAAATCTGCAAAGCTCTTCTTGAACCGAAGCTGATGTATTCCCAGAGCTGCTTGTGTTCATCTTCAGAGGGCCGTTGACATCTTGATGGTTTTCAATCCAGTGCAAACTAACTATATAGTCGGCATACCGAATCCCACCCGCTTGCGTCTCAAGAGTGCCCAATACGGAAGTTCTGCATAGAGCTTGCTGCCCCGCTGCTACGCGTGTAGCCTGACTTGTGAGAAGAGCGGGGAGGCTGCGACGAGAATGGGTCGCATTTCTTAGGGACAAACCAAATTCCTTGAAAGCCACCGTGAGAGAATCAGACTTGTGAAAAAACCGTGCGGTGTGCTAGTTTGCGTGTCCATGCGCCGCGCCGCTTGGCGTATGACCGACTGACTGTTTTGTCTCCAGGATCCAGAGCTCACTGACAACTCCACACTAGCAGCCGCCTCAGTGTGGTCGCTGAGCCGCGGGACCTGCCCTGTGCGAGAAAGGTCCGAGGAGTCTTCATAGTGCTGTGCGGCATGATGTTCCCGGTCCTTATCATGAACATCCTGATCTCCGTCCTCAGTGTTGCTTGCCATTATCATCAGTCTTGCCGTTGTCTGTGATTTTACATGCAAGCCGCAGCAGTTGTGCAGCGAGAGCCGTCCTTGAGCTAGCGTGCTTCGTTGATGTGAGTAAGGTTTGGCTGGATTTTGCAATCAAGAATGCCATCGTCTCAGTTGCTTCTTCCGGACTCCTTCCTGCATGTGCTTTCTGAAGTCACGGTCTCTCTCATGGCCGCCGATGCCGAGTCGCCGAGGTCTGGCTTGATTTTCAGCGGGCAAGAGCCAGGAGAGTCTTGAAGTACAAGGTTTCGCAAGTGTGCTCCCATCATGGCAAGACTTATTACAAAAGGTTTGTGAAGCTGACAGAGGCACTCACCCGATTGTTGTGCAAATGCCGCAAGGCCGAGGACCGAGCTTGTAGACACTGAAAACTCAACTCGATCGGCGTAGATCTACATGCTGATGCCGTGTATTGATAAGTGGCAGTACAGCATTGCCCGTCTGATTGTACATGAAAATCGTGGCAACACATCTTGCTTCGTAATCGAGGAGGAAAGGAGGGATCATTTTAGTTCAGCAGTCAGCGCGTTTGTGTCGCCAGGACATGGATGTGAACGAACAAGGCCCTGCACAGAGTTGCTCAAATCCGGTTTCGTTGTGCTTTGCTCGCATGTTGATCCTCTCGGCCAGATGTGAAAGCGAGCGCGCCGTACATTTGGTTCTCTGCTCCGAAGGAGGAGGCTTTCTGGGGCTTGAGAAGGGGTGCCTTCTAAGCAAAGTTACCGTGACCCGGATGACACTACAGTTCGTACATAACAGCAGTGGATGCTAAGGCAGCGTAGGAATCCTGGAGTCTCCGGCCCTCGCCCGCGCGGGGTCCGCGCAGAACACACTGTGCACGCTCTGCACACATGGCACCCGGAAGAAAGACTGAAGTGGAATTGGAATAATGGGAAACGGTAGAACAAGTGGATCGGTGCATGCGTGCACATCGCAGCGGCAAAGGGATCGCTGCATCATCAAAGCCATGCCTGCAGTTCGCTCTAACACTATGTAATGTAATGTATTGTTGAAACTGGTACTTCCCAAAGAAGGGACTGACAATGTTCCCGCACAGTATACTGTTTGCGATCAGTCAGCCCAGTGGGCAGAAGTGGTATTTATAAACATGAAGATCACAGGAGATTCTGGAAAATGATGTCGCGCCTGGACTCAATCTCAAATTCAAGGCGGGCTGACTGCATAGAGATCATGGCAGATCATTGCAGCATTGAAGCAATCCTGGGCGAGGAAGCCGCCGAAGGCGACCAAAGGATTGAGTCAAGGCAACTGTACTGCAAGTAGTCGGTTGAGTAATTGGACCGCAGAGCTTTTTTCTGCGATCCGTGCCAGCGGACCCCGTCGCAGACGCAGGCTGGGAAGCCTGGAAAGGTGCCTGCAGGCCAGGCCAGGGCTAGTGGCAGCCAGCGGGCTTATCTCGGCCTCGAGAAGGGCAGCGACTTGGTGAGAGCACTGCAGCACAGCTTCTCTTCGCTCTGCAGATCCTGGTGGACAGCAATGTTCGAAACGAGCGTCGCCGTGCCTGCCTCGTGACTCCAAGACCAAGATGTCCTCTTGCCTTGGTACAGCTCAGGTGCAAAGAACACATTCGACAAGGCGCCGGTAGCTCAGATCGGCTTGTGCAGAACAAGTATTGTTGGGAGCGTGACCTATCTGGATTGATGATTCTGAGGTTCAGCACGCCCAAAGACATGAATGGTGCTTAGCTAGGTTCACTCGGTTGTCTTGGGGTCTCAGGCCACACAAACAGATGCAAGTCATTGAACTCAGATGACACACAAAGCTGGATTATCTCGATTCCCCTCTTCCGCTCCATGCAGGCCGCTTTTTTCTGCATACTGGCGAAGCCAAATGTGCAAAGGCCCTGAATCGAATTGGATCTCGGATCGTTAATGTGACTGCACTCAGTGAACTGGCTCGTGTCCGCTCTGGCGGACACAAGCCTTGGCACTGTGCGCACCCGCAGGCTGACAGCACCCCAAGTCTTTCGTTGTTTAAGGTTACATGTTCCCATGTAAGGAGCTTTTGTGCTAGATGCCTGTTTTTGCCCTCCACCCAGTGTGGAGGTTGTGCCTTGTGCAGAAGTCCGAACGGCAAACCGTTTGAACATGTCCGAATGGCCCTGGCCTTCCTGTTAAGAGCTGCCAGTGAAGCCCTGCATCCTAGATGCATGTGTTGACCCAGACCGATCGGGGATCACCTTAGGCTTGTACCTGACTTGCTGACTCTTGGCTCAGACCTTCATGGCGGAATGGCGAAAGCAAGCCCTATCTGTGCAAAAACACACAAACACAAAGACAAAGCACACACACACACAGACAGACAGACACACACCCGCGCGCGCGCACACACACACACACCCACTACACATACACACACGCGCGCACACACACACACACACGCACGCACACATGCAAGCAAACCTCACGAGGGCCGCTCGTTTCTTCTTCAGGGCCAACTTTTATTGCCATGTTCTGCATGTGCTGTGCAGCCGATATGGGCGCTGCCAGCTGACTGTGACAACGAGACACCTCGTTGCTAGCGAAGTCCCCACACGCGGTGCTCATGAGGACCGTCGGCAGAAGCGAACCAGACCCTAGCTCCTTGAAGCTTCTCGCCTTCTTGCTCGTTGTGCATTGCGGTGAAGCCGCGTTTTTGCAAGCTGTATGGATTGTTGGGGAATCTCTTTCGGCACAGAGAATTCGGATTCATTTCCACTTGCAGCAGTGTTTGGAACGATCCAATCTCACAAGTTCCTATGCTTGCGAGGCAATGAAAACGAAAGGGCTCCATCAGCAGACGGGTTGCAAGCTTGCTTCCCTCTGCAGCTGAAGATTGCCACACCATCAACCCAATGCTACATAGGTGATCATAAATTAGCCACTGTGTTTGTAGCAACTTTCACCTGAATCACCAAATTGGGGTAATCTTCACACTGCAGGCTATGCACATGAAACACATGCAAACAGTCTAAGCACATCTATCTTGAATAAGCCAGTTCACTGGCCCCCGCAATCACCGAAACACCAAAATTCAGGATGTGGCTTTGCCGATTTAAAACGCTCCCACTTTGTGGCCAGGTCCTTTATCTCTTGCTTTCTCGCGTAGAAAAACTGGGCCACATGTTGATTGTCATCCTCATGGCCATGCTCATCCAGCATCTTTGCCTTGCTAAGTGCATGATTTATCTCGATCTCTGTGACTATAACCCATATATATGGTTTATATATTCTTCAAGTAGCTTCCTCATCTATTTTTGTTTGCTCCTCTCCATATCCCTCTGTCTCTCTCTCGCTCTCTCTCTCTCCCGCCCCCTCTTCCTCTCCATTTCCAGCCACTGAACTCTCAAGCACAAAATTGCTGATGAGACAAGCATGCCACTGCAGCATTCACCAGATGGGTCACGGATACACCTTTCGATCCAATGTAGAAAACCTGCACCATATGGAAGCACCAAGATAAACAGCTCAGCAAGCAATAAAAATCACATCCTGACATCAATCTTGAACTGAACAGCCTGCTTCCCTTCGGCTTTCTCAGCGATGCCAACACCAGGCCGTGACCAATATACCATCACAGTGTAATTTGAGAGGGTGCCATTGGTCTTCAAGACGAGAACCTTGCAACGGGTCTGTTCCTCAGGATCTTAGACAGAGAGCAGCACACATGCATATCCTAATTGGACCATGACATCGATCGTGCAATGCATGTCTCATCCTCTCTGCGCACACGACAAAACCACAACATCACTGAGTCAAGTTACCTCCTTGTCTGGGCTGACACCCTGTGCTAGCCCCTCTGCCTTGCTTTTTGCCAAAGCCTTCCCTTGCTCAAGGGCCAAGGCAAGGTCACTCTTCCTCCTTTTGCCTGTGCCCGCTCCTCATCGCATGCGGCCTTCATCCTGCCGGCCCTTGCAGGCTTTGCCTGCCCTTCCTCATGATCTACTCCGTCATTCTCGGACACAGTCTTGGAACCTTGCTTTCCACGAACTCACTTTGCAGGGATCGGGTTGGCATCCTTTTCTTCTGATGGCCTCTTCTGACCCCTGACGCCCCGGCCCCTTCCACCACCGCTTCCTCGGCCACATGGCGTTGCTTCCCTTTGCCGTTCCAAGCTCCTCACCTTCACAACCAATCTCACATTTATCCCCATCCTCAACATTCCTCAACAGGCTTCTCTTCCTCAGTGGCCTGATTGGGCTTTCGAGAGGCCTTGCTCTTAGCAGCTATCTTCCGAGGCTTCTTCTCTCCTTTGTCTTCATTCTCTTCTGTGTCTTTCTTCTATTCTGCGTCTTTCTTCTCTTCTGCGGTTTCCTCTCTTCTGCAGCCTGCTCCTCTTCTGTGTCTTTATTCTTCTTCTTCAGCTTCTTGGCCTCTGCATCAGATCTTCTCTGCTGTCGAGCTGAAACTTGCCCATCTCGAGTCACAACCTGAGATGCTATGAAGCAACACAGCATTCGTAGTGAACACAAGGAGAGAAAACCAACAATATGATACTATATTCAGCCATTCTGCGCGCGGATCAGGCACAATCGACACATGAGTCACACGAGGTTCAACCGCCGCGGGCTTTGCAAGGTCTGGCTCCTTGTGTATATCATCCTGGGTATGTGTAGCATCATGCCACATGACATGACGAACAATTTCATTCTTGATGTCTCCACTATAGTGTTAAATTTCACACCAATTAAGCACTCACACACCCACTAATCCCAAGGATCCTCACATAGATGAAAACACCCCAACCCTAATGTAGACGATACTGTACCCCATGTGAGCATAACCCTTTGTATTCTGTAGTGTTATATGGTCCTTGCGATAGCCCCCACTAAAAAGCTTTACCTATTCAGTTCTTCTGTGTTGCCCTGTGCCGATGATTAGCAAAGCTGGCTGACCTGATTGGCCGCTGGACTAGTCTCACTATGGACCCTTTCAGGAGTCCTCTGCAAGCTGTTCCATTGATCTGGCTATCGGTAGCCACCTGCGTCTCGAGATTGTCGGTCGGGTCGATATGCGAAAGTCCTAAAATCGCAGCCAGGCCATGCACTCACATCAGCTCCAGCCAAGTATCAGCAAAAGCCAACGAAGCTTCATGCACCCATCAAGATCCAAGATTCTGGAAATGCGGCTCCCAACAGCATCCTGATTCCCGCACGATGTCTCCGTCTGTAAACTTGGTTGTTTCATGATCGAGGAGACAAAGCATTGAAAGGAAAACATGGCAGCACATGCACCTCATGGCCACTGAATCAGCAGTATGACATAGTATGAGCTCAGAAACAGCTTTGCTTCAAGCTTCGCCAGCTCCTGCAAAGCTGCCTCTCGGTCAAAGGAGTCCGCCTGAGCCACAACATCTGGCTCCTTGTCCAAGGGCTCCTGCTTCAGGATCAATGTACTACCAGCAAAATCTCCTTCGTGACCACAACAGGCATCGAGGCAGGGTTCTGAAGGGCACTTGTGCTTGGGAAGCGGATCTGGGGTCTCTAGGACTGTTGTCGCCAGCGATGCACAGCTTGCCAAACTAGCAATGGACCTCGAACTGTCAGCATGAACGACTGGCTTCTCACGCCTTTGCATTGGCTTGCTGGGAGGCTTCTCTTCAAAGCTTTGCATGGGCTTGCTGGGGCATTTCTTTGCATGGCTTTCCTTTGCACATGGAAGCTCAAGCTCCTCATCATCTTCTATCTCCTCTTCCTCCACTCCTTCGTAACCCTCTTGCGTTGCATCATGAACCTCCTCGGCCTGAGCCTCAACCTGTTGGACACTCCAACCGGTCCTCTTCCGCCTTGTGGATACTTCTCCTTTGATGGGTATAGCAGCAGCAGCAACAGCAGCAACAGCCGCAACAGCGGCAAGAGCAAGAAGTGCAAGAAGAGCATTAGCGCCACGAGCAAACGAGGAGCAGCAGCACGAGCCGCAGCAGCAGCAGCAGCAGCAGCACTACCAGCACCAAAAGCACGAGTAAGAGCACGAGCCAGAGCCAGAGCCAGAAGTGAGACCGAGAACGAGAACTTGAGCCAGGGGCGCAAGAACAAGAAAACGAACAGCAACAAAAAGAATAGCAACAAGACAAAAGAAAGAAGAATAACATTGCTGTCGCCCTTGCCCTGCCTTGACTGCACCGTCAACTCCTGCAGCTCCAGGAATAGCAAGTAGCGGGCGCTAGATGCCGGACATGGCGGCCTGCGGAGATTTTCATACTGTCCCTTGGTGTAGATCAGTGGGGAAGCTCGCTCCGACACGAAGTGCATGGTGCCGCACTGTCAGAAAAGTCCAGGTTCTTCTCCGATCCTGTGGCCGCTTGGCCGAGACCTGGAGCTTGCGACTTTGTCACAAGGCGTGAAGAAGCCCTGTCAGCTCGAAAATGGCCGCTTATAACACCAAGCTTGTATGGTTTGCTGTTGCACGATGCAAACGAGATCAAGCCAGCAGTTGAAGTTGGTGGAGCTTGTAATACGGTAGCAGCTCGGTAGCAGCCGTAGCACCTTTCACCGAACAGCATCCTGCATCTCAGGAGAAGCAGTTGCATTTGGCGACAACAGATTCGGCCAGTGTGAGGCTATGGACAAGCGTGCCTCCTGCTTTTTTGAGTGGGAATCGTGTTTGGCAGGTTCCAGCCTTGCCGAAGAGTCTGCGCTACGTATCAGCTGCAGCAGGTTGTTCGTTCCTCAGCTGCCAAGTTGCGGTATGGGCAACCAGTGGTCCTA